CCCAAAAAAAAAAAAAAAAAAAAAAAAGCCCTGGTATTTTGTTTTCCTCTTTCACACTCCATCCAGTCTTCTCCCTTTCTCCTTTGCCCTTACAACTAGAGTGACCCATTATTCTCCAGCCTGTCTACATATTATAAGATGAAGAGATAAGGAAGTGCTACCTCCTCAGCTTGGCTATTTAGGCAGACCATTTTCCTTCAGAGCATCCAAAATGACTGAACAATTTATCATTTCTTCTTTGTAAATCACTTTGAACTTTTATCTCAAGTTGATCTGTGAAGGTAAACATAAATTCTTGTTGTAGGATCCATGCTCTTGTCTACTGACAAAGCTCTAGGATATCTTATATAAATGTGTGTGTGTATGTGTGTGTGTGTAGATAAAATTAGAATAGAAATAACAATTAGAGTATCATCTCTGCTTCTAATGCCAAACCACAAGGTGGCAAGTTTTTTTCAGTGCAACTTGGCATAGTGAAAACTGCAGTTGGGCGAAACAGTTCTCTCTCTCTTAGCCTTAGGTTGGCCCGTCTTAGATCAGAACATGCTGTTGATCTTGACTTGTTTGTCAGGGCTGACCTGGCATGGAGGTGTGAAACTTTAACGGTCCCTCTTTAGCTGCCCTCTATGAAACCTATGGTCAGAGAGCCTTCTTGCTGGGGCTAGTGGCTCTCAGACTCAAAGCAAAGATGCATTTTTCTATCTTGCTCTCTTTGTTCGAAAAAATATGAGGATTCTATAATGCATCATTTTAGCATTTACAAGTTGTTAACTGTTTTAGTCATTATGAATGTTACATTTGTACAGCTTTGTAGTTTACAGATATGCTCTACATACTTGATCTCATTTGATTCTCATAATTGCCCTGTGAAGTAGGTTTCAGTATTCTTTATATTGTCTCCTTTATTAGAAAGACTGGGACCCAGAGAAACCAGGAGAAATGCCCAAGGTTACACAGCTAGTAGCGAGGCTAAATGCTAGGCCTCTCAAGTCTTTGGTGAGTGTCCTTTCTATAGGATGACAGCGAGAGTTTAGCTACACAGTCTAATTCAGCCAAACTCAGTAGTATTTGATTGACTTTTCAAAGGCTGAGGAGTTGGGACCTTTGAACTTTCATTCCAGTAGGCAGTGCGATATTGAGCAAATTATTAAAACTGGAAATGGGGTTAATGGTACCATGTCGTGGATCTAACTCCCGTACAACTAAGTGATGACTAGTATAGGATTTTTAAATACCTAGTGACATATAAATATGAAATATTGCCAACAGTATAGTATAGAAAGAATTCACGTTGTGACTAATGAGCATATAGGATTATATATTACACTGCATGTGCTGAGACTTTGAGAGCTTTCCAAAGATAATACTTTCCGAAAGATATATGTTTGAACTTGAACTCAGTCTGGGAATATCTCTGTTTTAAGACCAGAAGTTTGCTTAAAGAAGAGATGCATACTGTGCCCTCAAACTTATTAGGTAGGTGGTAGAAGACTTGAAGAAACTTGTTTTCAGACCTCTGTGTGTGTGCGCGCGCATGTGTGCATGCGTGTGTGTGTGTGGCATTGAATCACTCATATCAAGTCTCTAACTGTAATAAATATGTATAAATACAGTAAATGGGGGAGGGATGTTCCTCTCTCTTGAGATTCCTTTGTCTTTGGTCCTTTTTTTTTTTTTAATATCTATTTGAATGGAAATCAGAGCATGCTCCTTCTCCGAACTGAGAACCCATCAGCGTCCTCCTAAGATGTACATTTTTCTTTTTAAATAGAAATGACTAGAAAAGCTTTTTAAATTTTGCATTTCTGTGTTACTGCAATAAACGGGCAAATGTAAACACTACAGAGCACCTGTTGCTGGGAGGCTTTGGTGTTTGTGAGATGCGGCAGCGTGCTCCTGCTGGGGAGGAAGAGTGGCAAGTGTGTACCTGGTTCCCAGGGTCGTGGAGGATCTGTCTGGACCAGACTGTTATGATCTATGAACTGGTGTTGGAGACTCAGCCTTCTGTTGTAAACTTCTCATATCATATCATGAGGAGAATCCATTTAGGGGTGATTTTATTTACTCTTTGCTTTTCTAACCCTTTAAGACCAGAAATACAATAGTTGTTTTAGTATGTAGAACTCTTGGCTAATGTTTTTGATCAAGCAACTCTTCCTTGATCCGTAACCACGTAAGGTCTTTTTGAGAGGCCTTATTGCTTGAATATTAGGCCTTCAGTGAGGCCTGTTAAGAGAAAGTGTAAAACTCAGACTCCTGCCATTGAAATGTTGGTTTTGCTCTGACTAGTTGAGACCAACGATTCTCTCACTCTTTCATCTCTACCCTGCCAGTGAACCATGAGTGCCTGAGTTGTGACCATCACAATGACATTCGTTAAAAAGTTAGGAAAACCCACAGTTTACCTGGCCAATTAATTGTATGTCACTCTCCTGACCACTGATATAATAAGGTATTCTGACCTACTTTATGAGCCATTTATTGAGCTGCTGTATAAGTCTAGGCTGTAAACCTCCACAGAAAGCGGGTGGAAATGACTTTTTGTTGTTCAGTTTTCTAGATGAGGGGCAAGGTACAGTGGAAAGAGAAAGCTTTGGTGTTAGACAGACTTAGGTTTGCAAACTGGTGGCCCTGGGGTTTTTTTGTTTTGCTTTGTTTTGGTTTTGGTTTGTTTCTTTAGTTCTTAGGTCCTCCGCCTACTTTGAAGAGTTAGTGTAAGGACTAGAGATAATACACATGAAGTTAAGCATGTAGACACTGTTGCTGTCACTCAGCACAGGATTGCCAAGACCCTTTCTGAAGACTCAGCTCTAACGCTGTGTCTTCACTGCAACACTGTTGCTTTTGCCACTCCAGACTCCCACCAGTCACCTTCCAGGTAACACTTCTTTACACATCATAAGGCTTATTATGAAAGTGTGCATTTTAAATTGTGTTCTTTGCTTTCTTCTTACAGATCTGTAAGAGCAAAGCTAAAGAATCGCAGCAGTATTATCACAGCTTGGCTGTCCGGCAGAGTCTGGCTGTCCATTTTAACATCCAGCAGGACTGTGGTCACTTCCTTGCTGAAGTTCCTAAACGTCTGCTTCCCTGGGAGGACCCTGATGCCCTGGAAGAGGAAGAGGATGAAATGGAAGCGACGGAAGAGGTGAAAGGAGGAACTGATGGAAAAAGCCCAGAGCCCGGCTCTGAAGCAGAGTCATCCCACAAAGAAAGCCAGGCAGTCGTTAGCAGGAAGCAGAGAAGCCACGTCGTGGTCATCACCAGAGAGGTTCCCTGTCTCACCGTGGCCGACTTTGTGCGAGACTCTCTAGCGCAGCATGGGAAAAGCCCTGACGTGTATGAGAGGCAAGTGTGTCTGCTGCTCTTACAGCTGTGCTCTGGCCTGGAGCATCTCAAACCCTACCATGTCACTCACTGCGATCTGCGTCTGGAGAACCTGCTGCTTGTCCACTACCAGCCCGGAGGACCCGCCCAGGGCCTTGGGCCTGCGGAGCCCGGCCCCACCTCTTCTTGTCCCACGAGGCTCATAGTAAGCAACTTCTCTCAAGCCAAGCAGAAGAGCCATCTGGTAGACCCTGAGATCCTCCGGGACCAGTCCCGCCTCGCCCCAGAGATCATCACAGCCACCCAGTATAAAAAGTGTGATGAGTTCCAGACAGGCATCCTCATCTATGAGATGCTGCACCTGCCCAACCCCTTCGATGAGAACCCAGAGCTGAAGGAGAAGGAATACACTCGAGCAGACCTGCCTCGCATCCCACTCCGCTCCCCCTATTCCCGGGGCCTGCAGCAGCTGGCCAGCTGCCTCCTGAACCCCAACCCTTCTGAGCGACTCCTCATTTCAGGCGCCAAAGGCATCCTCCAGTGTCTGCTCTGGGGCCCCCGGGAAGGCCTCTTCCAGACTTTCACTGCCTCCCCCAGCCCAGTGCAGAGGAATGCCCTGCTCCAAAACTGGCTAGACATCAAGCGAACACTGCTCATGATCAAGTTTGCTGAGAAGTCCCTGGACAGGGAAGGTGGCGTCAGCCTGGAGGACTGGCTTTGTGCTCAGTATTTGGCTTTTGCTACTCCAGACTCCCTCAGCTGCGTCGTGAAAATCCTGCAGCCCCGTTAACGTGTCCCAGTTGCTGCTCTTCCTTCATTGTCGCCTTCTTCAAGTGGCTCACATACTTCCCCTTCCTAGTACTCACACAGAATTCAAGGAAAGGGGAGAGACGAGCCTTCCATCCCCATCCATGAACAGATGAGTCCACTCTGAAAGGTTGTCCTCAGCTCTAAATCCAGTGAGACGCTGAGTCCCTCTTAATTTCACAGGAAGTCAGCCGCACAAACATGCAGCTGCCTTCCGTGGGAATGCCTTCCGCCCTAACTGTCCCCCAAATGCAGGGAAAATGAAGACATATCCTTGAAGGGACAGCTCCTCTGGTTTGAACTCAGTGAGCTGGGTCCAGTTCCTCCATAATTCTGAATATCCCCTGTCTTTTTAACACCGTGTATTTATTCTCACTAGCAATAGACGGTTTTAACCAGTCCTTACCACCATCCACTAAGCTCTCACAACAGACTTTCTTCCTTTAAAGGATCAATAACTGACTCTCTTACCAGGCGGAACTGCCATCCTTAGCATCAGCCCAGTTTTGGTTCCGGGGACTGTATCCTTTGTTCCAGGAGGAGTAGAAAGACGAGGAGAGATCCCATCCTCTGGGTCATGAACCCATTTTCATTTCTATTATCGATAAGTGTGTGCACTGCATGGAGGGCGGCCCTAACCGTCTCCCCTCTGCTGCCACTGCCTGATTCTCCTTCACCTCTACTCTCTCCCCACTTGCCAATGAAGTTTGGGTTTATCGGCCACTTGTGGCCCATTATAGAGCTGACCCAAGGTGGTGTCACCAGTGCCTCAGCAGGGTGGAGTGCAGTTCAGATCTTATAAATAGCTGGCAGGACACAAGGAGATGATTTTCCTGCATGTGCAATTCTCTAGGGGACATCAGGGGAACAGAGTTTAAAGTACTGTTCTTTGATTACTGTCAGAGCTGTCAACATTGGCAGCCAGGGCTGCCGGTGCCCAGATCACAGTTTTCCCTCGAGCAGTAATTGGCCAGCCTCCTTCTGTCAGTAGCCAGCGTTAACTAGTCTACCAAATGCTGTAGACAACAGCCCTGCATGAAACGGCTGTCAGTGGAGCTGTAATGTCTCCTTAGAGGGCATGGCGTGGCTGGCTGTTAGGATGGCCAGAAGGCAGGGGAAGGGGAGAGGGCCGCTGATGAGACTGCTGACCTCCTCCTCAGAATGCCGGCCTTTTCTGGAGAGACTGCCTCCCAGCGCACAGGCATATTGCTCCTTGTGACCCTCTGAAATGGCTCTGGAGGACAGCTCCCAGGGAACTTGGATTGCTGAGGTGGGTGGCTGGGAGCTGTTCACCGCACGTGGGGTCTGTGCTCCTCCTCTATGGATATATGTGCAATGTTGGTATGTATTTTTTTTTTTTAGCTGTATATGCAATGTTTATGTTGCAACTTCACCTGAAGCAATATCTCCAGAAACCCTCCCCTTCTTCCCTTGGCACATATTTGAGCTGAGTGACGAGTGTTCCTTCCACCGGGGTGTGTGCGTGTGTGTGCGCGCGCGTGCGCGCGCGCGCGCGTGTGTGTGTTATTCAAAACTGTGAGTATCTGTTCTGTTTACTTCAACCTTGAAATCCCAAGAGTCACTCAGACAGTGTGAGAGTGTGTACACGTATGTACCCGTGAGTGTGCACACGCACGCTGGAAGTAGAGGCCAGGCCTCTGGGGGAGCAACCTGTGGCAGGGTTGATAGACGCGTTCTCTGCACTGGTTGGTGAGACAGCCCTGGGCCTCTCATCTACCGGTGCAGAGTTTGTCAAAGCCAAGCCTGATTGTGCAGTATTACTTAGCACGTTAGTGGCCTTTTGGTAATTTCTAAACTTTTAACATTATTAACAACCTTTCATGTGATTCACCTGTATCAAAGAGGATCAAGAAAGGAGAAGAATGTATTTTATTGTGCTCTTCTTTGTTTCTTTTTCTTTTTTGTTTTAGAGAATGGGACATGTGAGGCTCCATATGGAACATGTGCCTGTCCTCCTGGCCAGCAGTACAGGACTTCCAGGGAAGAGAGCTGGTTGGCCCACAAAGAGTCTTGTCTCCTCTGGCCAGAGTGTAAGGCTCTGCCCCTAGGAATGGCCACAAGGTGGGCATGCCACCGCAGGCCAGCAGTCCACTCTCTCTCTCGGTGTCCTGTGACATGGCCACACCTTGCCTAGCAGGCTGGTGTTCGGTTCACCTTAGCATAGCCCATGTGCACATAAGTCCCTGCCCAATTATACACTGAAGTGGCAGTGCACAGACCACTGACCCTGTCAGCCAGCACGTTCCCTTAGCAGCCCCCCTCCGTGGTTTGCATATTGAGACACTTTCTCAATGTCACTCTCGTGGTGCCTTGCCCATGTAAATTTGAATGTTGACTATTTAATGAGCTTTCATATTTAATGAAGAATGTTTCCTGGTCCCTCTATTTGTTCTCTAGGTATCCTCCCTCCCCCACCACACACACGTTTTTCCTCTGTTTCTGTTTTGCCTTGGACCCAGTCTTCTTCATTTTAACTCTATGGTATTATAATCATGGACGCCCTCCACTACCATATCTCATAGCACTGGCAAACCGAGCACCTCTTCACATCAGATGCGTTTAGTACCGTTTTCATATTCAGATTTGTTAAGGGCAAAAGAGTAACGCCAACTAGTCAGAGAAGGGACTCAGGCTTCCCTGAGACAGGTGGCCAGGTTAGCAGCTCTCTGCGTGAGGGCCAAGGAATGTAAGGTGGGGAGGGAAGAAGGTGTTACAGGTTAGAGCAGAACAGGCAAAATAACCCTATTTCTAGGCAAGAAGTATTTACATCAGGTGGTCCTCCAAATATTTTCCAGATATGATGAAATTCAGTCAATCTCATATTATCACAAATATTTTACATTTCCATTTTAATTGTAGTAGGAACTTTGAATACATTCATCAACTGGAAAGAAATCCTGCCCTCAGACACAGACAGACAGACATACATATTTATATATATATATATATATATATATATATATGAGTTTTGGATTGTGACTAGTATAGCACTTTGTTTTCTCAAGTAATGTCAAGTTATTGTCTTCAATACTGATTGGATTTTTTCTCTTCTATTGAAGCTTATACTATAGATTCTTCCATTTATATTGAGAATTTGAACAATTAAGCCGCTATTGGAACTTTTCCTTAAGCCACATGAGCAAGAATAATCTCTCGTACACATTTGGGTACTAGAGAAACAGGACAATGGCTGGAGTAGCCAAGACCAAGACTGAATGTACAGCAGAGTGCCTTGTTAGCATGATAACCTCGTCTGGGAAGGAAGGGAATTAGATGTTCCACAGGAAGGACGGGGGCTGTGAGAGGGCTCTTTTGCTAGCCTGAGGAGAGCCCCTTTGGTGTACTAGTGTGAGGCCCAGAAGCTAATTCATCAAGAACAACAGCAGGATGGGGAAAAGAGCAGTTGCAACATGTGGAATCAACAACGAAAGAATCGGGAAGGACGTCCACCAACGCCTAGGCTAAGTCTGAATTGGAAGCCAGGAATATGGCAGTGGGTTTCAGGTTTTGCCCTCGGAAGATAAACCGTGTGAGATATATGGGGAGCACAAGCACCCACACTCCCTAGCCTACTGATGTTGAGGGGCTAAAAGTAAAACCTATTTGTTAGGATTTCAAGACTCTGAGTAACCTTTCATTGTCAGTGGGGGACAGTTGTGCTTCCAAACTCAGAATAAGTTTGTGAACTTAGAAAACTCTAAGCCAAAAGATCTGAACCTCTAGAAATATTAATGATATTTCTGGGAGTTAAACTGCCTAAAATTGTATTTTAAAGTTTCCAGCATTGTAAAATTTCCATGAAAGATCTTTGGGGCCTACTAAACGGTAGGGCGTAGAAGGATTGCACTCAGCTTCCCAAATTTGAGTTAAGAATACTTTGGTGCTGGGAAGTAACCTGACTTGGTTTTGCTGATAACCTGCAACTAGGATTTTTCCCTAGATGTTACCAGCAGTGATCTGAAAAACTACAGGCTAGTTCCAGAAATTGGGATGGACTTATTATACTGCACTGTATTCCAAATGATTCCAGATGTACAAATGAAGCATGAGCAGACTTTGGGGTGGGGTGGGGAGGAACTTGACTCCCTGGGTTAACTCTGACATATTGTTTATTCCCCTCACTAGTTGATAAGGATTAAAGATTCTGGTTCAGCCTAATGAGTAAACAGGATGGCTGCCCATGAAACCGGGTTATTAGTTTTACCTCATTGAAGCTCATATTCTCAAAGGCCCTAAGTGCTGTGCTGAGACGAATCCAAGTGCCGCTCTTGCTGAAGTGCGCACTGCAGCCCAGCTGTCCACGCTGATGGCAGCGCTGAAAGTGGGGATTCCGTTGGACCAAAAATGATGCCATAAGGGAAGCCACAAGAGGTGCAGTGCAAGATCCTAGGTAGAGATTATGCCAAAGAAATCAAGCCTTTTTGTCCTGATGCTTCTTAGGTGATGAGGTTGAGTTATGACAGATGCCATGGGAGGAGAATTCACATACATTCCACATCCAGGTATTCAGCTGATAAAATAATGCATCCTCAAATAAGCACCTATTTTTTAAAAACAAGTCCATTTTGTGTATTAGGGGGGAAAAAATGATGATGATGATGAAAGAAAACCTTGCGCAGATTATAGAGTTCCCCAGTATTTAAGGAGAAGAAACTGTTCCCTCTCTCGTTGACATGGCTGTGACTACTGCCCAGACTTCAGCTTGGGAACATCATATATCCACGTAATACTGAGAGCTGAGGAATTTTTTAAAAGAGATATGGTAGTTTCCATAGGTTTGTTTAAAGAACTCTTGGGAAATTTCTTAACAAATTGTAATATTTTTTTATAAACCTTCCTACTGAGGTGTTTATCACTCACCATCACCACCATTTAATATTTATAAGTGCCCAGAATGTACAAGGTGCTATACAGCTGTTAAACAACCCCCTCTCTGCAGCTGTTTGAAATTAGAGTAGGTTT